TCTCCTCTCCTCTCCTCTCCTCTCCTCTCCTCTCCTCTCTCGCACATTAAAGCAGCAATACTTAGTTTTTTGTAACCTGAGGTTATGGGTGTCCTTTTAATCGACTACTTAACTGTATCTCATTTAACTTGTAAGTTTGTGTCCTAATATTTATTATCAGCTCTTCTGTAAGTAGTGGCAGGCAGCGATTGCTCAGTGTATGTAACAACAAACACAAGCTGGATGGATTATGGAAAGCATAAAATCCTATTTATGTTTGCTTATGTGGGTTTGATGCAAGAATTAAAAATTAATGCTGTAGGAAAATATTTGAGCATGCCAGACCCAAACAGGCAGACATTGTTGTGCCTGGGTCTGGAATTACCATATGGCTGTTATTTTTCCCTAATTAAGTTGGAGCTGCTGGGGAAGTGCAGCCCAGTGACAGGCTCTGCATCTCTGGGGTGGGGCAGGGCATTGCCGGCACTGCATCCCAGCAGATTCCCAGCCCAGGGTGTGCTGCTGTTGTCCAAGAGCTCTGTGCAGTGCCTTTGCTGGCAGAAGCATTTTGTGTTTGCTCCTGGCTTTGCCTCTGCTCAGTTTTCATATTCCCAAACTCCTCCTGCAAAGCCAAGCCATGATTTAAGTGCTGGGACTGAGTCTCCCCCACCATGGAGCACCCACAGGGTCCAGCATCACCCCAAGTCTGGGTTTTTCCTTAAATCCCTCTGCTGACAGAGAGGGAGGCAGTGCTCAGCCCCACTTTTCTTGTTCTGCTGCGTCAGGACCCACTGGGTGCTGTCCCTTGCCTTTGGTGGAGCACACGCACATCCCCCTGATTAGCTAATTACTCTTTTTTCTGTAAGCAGAAGTAAATTCTGGCCCACTCTGGTTGTGGTTCAGTCAGTTCACATCCTGACAAAATTCTCTCGAGCTGCCTTGTGCCCCCATCCTTGCAGGGAGGGGAGAACAGCCCTGACCTCTGTTTGCCATGGAAATCTGCCATCTGCTCAATCTTTTCTTCACACTTTCAGTCCAGGCATTCACTATCTCAAACTTCTATCTGCCTTATTTTTTTTTTTAATCTATAACCCAAAATGCCTCCTTTATGTACAAATAAAATGAATTAAACCTTTCCCTGTGTGTGTTCCTGTCCTCATGGCTGTGGCTTTTGTGGGGTGACTTCCCACACCTGCACAGCACCAAACCAGCCATTTTTGAGGTTTTTCTTCACATCAGTGACACCTCCCATATCCCCAGGGGGGTCCAATATGACAAAGTGGGATATTTTTTGCAGGAATTCCCCCAATTGGTGTACAAAAGCCAGCACAGGCATCTCTGCCAGGCCCAGCTGCAAGGAAGGAGAGCCATAACACAATTTCTGGACAGCTTTTACAGAGGTTTTTTCCCTGAAAGCTCTGGATCCACACTTGCAGAGAGGAACTTCCCTCAGGAAGGTGGAAGTTCCAATTTCAGCACAATAAATGTGGGAGATTTTGTGCTAACCATCAGGGTGGCTTTGGGAAGTGCCTGTCTCCCCTTGATTTGGGGACAGGGAACTTCATTTTGGGGTGTGCTGCAGCTCTGCAGGGAGGCACATTTTGGAGTTTGCTGCCTTCCCCTGCTGTTCCCATCCCTGCAGCCCAGGCTGGTTAATGCATGCCAGGATGTTGATTTTCACTCCTGTGCCTCATCATTCCTCTTTCCCTTCCAACCATCTCTCCCCAGGGAGGAGCAGCTCCTCTGTGGAGCCTGAGGGATCATGGATGGGTTGGTGCTGCCCCTGGCACCTCCCAGCGCCCAAAATTCCTCCTGTCAGAGTTCCAGACTGCACAAAAAACCAGCTCAGTGCCACAAAGAGCCAGAGCCAGCCTCGATTTATACATTCCAATATCACTGTAGAGATCAAACTAAATATAGGCAAGGAGAAGCACACCCCCAGTGTGAGCACTGCGCAGGACAAATGGAGACAATTAAATCACAGCAAGAAAAGGAATTAATCTAATGATCTTAACAGGCTCAGCATCCAGCAGCCCATCAGCTGGGAAGGGAAAGAGTGATGAGGAGCTTGGCTGAACACGATTTTTCCACTCTCCTTATGGGCATTTCCAGTGTGTATTCCCTTTTGCTGCAAGGAGAGCAGAGGGGACTCTGAGGGTCTCAGCTGAAGCAGCTCAGTGCTCAGGCAAATCCACTTTGCTCTGCCTCGACAGGGTGAGAGGGCTGGGGATGGAGAGGAGAAGGCTTCAGGGGGACCTCAGAGCCCTTTCCAGTGCCTAAAGGGGCTCCAGGAGAGCTGGAGAGGGACTGGGGACAAGGGGACAGCACACAGGGAATGGCTCCCACTGCCAGAGGGCAGGGATGGATGGGAGATCAGGGATAAATTCCCTGGGAGGGTGGGCAGGCCCTGGCACAGGTGCCCAGAGCAGCTGTGGCTGCCCCTGGATCCCTGAAATGTCCCAGGCCAGGCTGGAACAACCTGGGACAGTAGGAACTGATGGAACTTGAAGATCTTTTCACCATTCCAGGATCCATCCAAAGAAAAACATCTCCTCTTGAGATTTTTATCAGCCAGAACCTGCCCCACCAGCAGCTTGGACAGGGTCAGTGCAGCAGCTCCCAACAGAATTTAATGTTCTTAGAAGAAACAAAACTATTACATCTACCATTATATATATAAATAATAGTATAATTATATATTATACTGTTATTGTGTTATTGCAAATATTATCAGATCATAATATATAATACAATAATAATAATAATTCAGTAATAATAATTATATATTATACAGCTGTTATAACAATTGTATTATAACTATTATATAATAATATATGCTCTCAGCAGCAAAAGCAGATTTCTTTCTGCAGGGGCAGTGTGCTGACTGCTCCTCTGCTCTGGCCCCTGTCCTGTCCCCACAGCTTGGTGTGGAAGGGCCAGCTTGCCCTGGTTTGGCCAGGATGGAAGGCATTTATCAGCAGGAGTGGAACAGGCCGTGATTCCCTTTCCTAGAAAGCTCCTGTCACTGTACCCAGGTGTGTTCTCTTTGCAGGATCCCCTGTTCACAGGGAAACAGCCAGCTCAGTCTGGGAGTTTGTCTGGGCTGTGCTCAGAGCATCCCTGGGGGCAGCAGCTCCTCTGCCTGGGCTCCAGCCCTGCAAGAAGGCTGCAGAAATGCAATATTTTGTCAACTGCTCCATCTAGTGCCATTTCAGCAGAAAGAGCATCCCGAGCACAACACTCAGAGCCGTGCTGGGCTGGGCAGCTCTCCCTGCCCGGGCTCATCCACAGGGATGTGCCAGCAGCCAGCCCTGGCCCCGTGCTTGCCTTGCAGGGACAGAACCAGGAATCTTCACCCTGATTTTCTCGTTCTTCTAAAATGGGACTGTAAACCTTTCTATGGAAAGATCTGCCCTGGAAAACACGACATTCCTCATGAGCTCTTCAACTGCTCAGGAATCCCTTAGGTTGGATCAGGCCTGGAGCAACCTGGGGTGGTGGAAGGCCCTGTCTGGGGTAGAATAGGATGAGCTTTAAGGTCAGTCCCAACCCAAACCAGTCTGGGATTCTGTGATCCTAAATAAGGATGGAATAAAGAGTTTATGCTACCACTGCATTTCTTCTCTTTTTGTGCAGGAATTGGGAGTAAACTCTGCTCCTCACCCCCACCAGGCTTGGGGAGGCAGCAGAGCCCTCAAAGCCCACCTGGAAAACGCTAAAAGCAAAGTCAGGGTGACCCTTGTTCCTTTTCCATTTGGGATGCTGCAGAACACGGATCTCTCTGATTTGCTGCCATCCTAGGAGGTGCAGCTATAACAGGAATGTGCTTTTTGGGGAACAAACCCCACTAAGAGGGGTAACAGTGACCATGGCAGTGTTTAACCAGGACATCAAACCAGATATCCAGATGTGTGACCCTGTGGGGAAAAGATGATAATGGAATTATGCATCCATGCTGAGCACAACCAATGTTATATAAAAATATAAATATTTTATAAAAATATTTCTATATATAAATATAAATATGTAACTGATGTTTTATACATATGTGACACCAAATTAATTCTCTCCAGTGCTTTCAGGCAGAGGGACATTAACTGCTCCACCCTGGCATAATCACTTTACCTCCACAGGCCCTATGGATGTCACACTCCCAGGGTGGTAATTGCCATGGGATTAATTACAGGGAATTTAGGGGCATTACAGTGATTCCTCATTGCAGGATAATGAGGTGGGAGTCCCTTCACCTCTCCTGCTGGCCCCACCACCACATCATAACCCACTCATGAGCTGGCCAAGAAATGCCAACATCCCCGAGATGGCTCCTGGTGCTGTCACTGCCCAGAGCAGGAAATTCCAGGTCTCTCCAGGTGAGGAAGATGATGGAAGGACTGTGAACAGCACATGGCCCTTCTAAAGTAAAGGCTCTGCCCCCAAGTCCTCAAACCAAGGCAGGAGAACCCTTAAAACAACAGGAAGCAGAGGAAAATTTCTGCCAGAGCAGGTTTAAATTGGATATCAGGGCATGCAACAGCTTTTAACACTGACTTAAATTAAAATACAGAATAAAACAAATGCACAACTACTTATGCAACTGAGCTTTATTTAGAACCTTTGAAGTCATAAAACGTCTCCTTGTACTGATCTACGTAAACATCCAATCAGGAGGTTTAATTGCTTTTTCCCTTGCACAGAAATGAAGTTTTAAACAAACCAGAACACCCCCACCCAGACAAGCGTGGAGCAAACTGAATTCTCTGCCTTGGCCCTGCACGTGGAGCATGGTCACTGGTTTATCAATTAGTTGCAATATAATTGTTTAATTTTTTTGGCAGTAATATATTCGAACACACAAAGTGCAAATTACAAGAAGCAGAAAATGTTCTCTCTCCTTCTGAGCAATGAGAAGTGAAATGTCTCATCAGCCCATAAATTCTATTGTTTATGTCTATGAACTGCATGTGCATCACAGGCTGATAAACAGCCATGGATTAAACAACTTCATGGATTAAATGTGGCAATGTCTCAGGGTGGGTACAAAAACACAGCACAGAAGAATCATTCCCTTTGGTCAATAAATCCCACACACTGCTGCTGAGGGTTCCTCCTCACAGCTCACCCTCAACTCCTGTGCAAGTAGAGCAGCCTGTCCAGAATTCTCCAGTTTTCCACACCTGGAGAGATCCCTGTGCTCTGCAGTCAGGATTCCACTCACACCTCACCTGGCAAATCAAACAGGACACTGGGAGCCCACTGAAAATGAGAAGTCTCTTCCAGGCACTATTAAGGGAATACCCACCAATGGTTCCAGCAGGCTAAATGCACTTTGTGATTACCTAAAGTTATGGAAAACTTTCCAAGGAAATAAGGAAAACCCTTTTCCATGAGAACTTATCACAGCATTCCTGTCTAAATGTAGTTCACCTCGCTTCAGGACTGGTTCCTGAATGTAAAATGGGGAAAATTCCACTCAATCACACAGAACAGCTGTACCTGTAACACCTCCCTGCACTGCTCAGCTATTATACTGCAGATTTTCAACCTTCTTTCCATTCAATTCCTGGAATTTTTCACACAAAATGAGCAGTCAATTCCGACCCCACCCTCCCTTTGATTTCTCCCAGCTACACCACCATTATAAATTATGCCAAACAGTTCCAAATCAGAGTGGGCTGCTTCCTCCAAACCCCTCCTGCTCCCCTGGACAGGAAGATTAACCCCCAATGCCTTGCACTGCCAGGAACCTGCCTGCCAATTCACCTGCTAAATCACCAAGGCCACATCACTCACACCATCACTGCTTGAGGGCTGGGACATGGAATGAGGTTGGGAACTTTTGGCTGAAGGTTCCTGCACCCCACCGCCAGAGTGGGACCAGCCTTGGGAAGGATTCAGACCCCAAAAAACTGGCTGGGGATTCAGCTGAGCTGGAGGGGGTTGAGGAGCCTCATCCCAAAGTGCTGCACCTGGCTGTGGGGGAGCATCCCAGCCCTGCCTGGTGTTACCCAAAATTGGCTCTGGCAGGCCCCAGAGAGGAGCATCCTCCAGGATCCATGGAAGCCCCTTCCTGCACTGCCTGATCCTGGGGAGACTCTTGGAAATGCGCATGAGCTTGGTGGTTAGGATGAATCCATGGAGCTGGAGGGACTGCTCACCAGCACTCCTAGAATTACAGGATCACATTCCCAAAGCAAACTTTTTGTCTTCATTAAAGTTTCAGGATGAACAATTATGCTGCAGCTTGGCACGACAACAACTGCCTTTGTATGCGACATGCCTGGCATATATCAGCACATTTCTTCTCAAAAAATAGAATTAGAACAGAATGAGCTACGCTGTTGTTGTTCATGCTGCCTAAATATCTGAAAAGGCTCAAACATTTTAAAAGCCTAAAAAAATAAATTTCCCTCTCCCCTCGTTTATTTTTCATGCTAAAGGCTGCAAATTGACACATCACAGTAATTACCTCTGACTAACTTCCACAGACCTACCCAAAGAGATAAACATGAGAAGTTCACATTTGACTATCAGACTTACTGTGCCGAGCACAAATAATTTCCCAGAGGAGAATTTGATATTTCATCATTTGGAACAGTGGTAATTTAATTACATTGCTAATGTTTTCTGGCATACTTGAAAGAACAATTAGCATAAGTAAATCACGAGTGAGATGACAAGTCACTCAGCATTTATTTCTGCCCCTCAGATGAGATCAGTTGATGATCTGAAATTCTCTTTTGTGCGCGAATTGATTCCAGGTTCAGCAGTCGAGGTTCAGAGCAGCGGGGACAAACTGAGGTGTCAAATAATGCACAATAAGTCCTGTCCTTTGAAGTTCCTTAATTAAACCTTGTCCAGGGGAACCTCTGAAGCCACCAGAAGTAGTAGAGGGCGGGGAGGAAGGCTGGAAAGTTGTGGGAGGCTGGATGAAGCTGGAGACGCGCCTGGAGCGGCGGGAGCGCGGCTCCGGGCTCTGCTGGGGCTGGGCAGTGTTTGACAGCTCTGCTGACGGCCCCAAGGGCTCAGTGTGTCTCAGGACAGCACTGTCAGGGTCACTGTCCCCTTCTGGCGCTTCAGGATGGCCACGGCCTGGTCGTGGGTGACGCCTTCCAGGGCCTCCCCGTTGACGGCCACGATCTGGTCCCCGCGCTTCAGCCGGCCGTCGTCGGCCGCCGCGCCCTGAAACGGCAACACGGGATCTGTGTGGGACCCACGGGGTTCCTGGGGCCTGGAATGAGGCCTGGAGAGGGGGATGGAGCTCTGGGGATCCCTCAGGGCCGGAGAAATGGGGGGATGGAGCTCTGGGAACCCCTCACGGGGGATGGAGCTCTGGGGATCCCTCAGGGCCAGGAGAAATGGGGGATGGAGCTCTGGGGATCCCTCATGGAGAAATGGGGCATGGAGCTCTGGGAATCCCTGAGGGGGGATGGAGCTCTGGGAGTGCCTCAGGGACAGGAGAAATGGAGGATGGAGCTCTGGGAATCCCTGAGGGGGGATGGAGCCCTGGGAACCCCTCATGGCCGGGAGAAATGGAAGATGGAGATCTGGGAACCCCTCAGGGCAGGAGAAATGGAGGATGGAGCTCTGGGAATCCCTCAGGGCCGGAGAAATGGGGGATGGAGCTCTGGGAATCCCTGAGGAGGGATGGAGCTCTGGGAACCCCTCAGGGCAGGAGAAATGGCAGCTCTGAGCTCCCCCCGAGCGCTGCTGCCCATCACTGCCCACCCTGCCAGGGTATGTGCCCAGGAAGGGAGAGCTGGCTCTTCCCTGGAAAAAGGCCTGGGGAGAGACTGGTTCTGGATTTTCTGGTCATGGAGAAGCTTGCTAAAGCAGCATTTAAATGTACTCCATGCCTGAGAAACAGTGGGGAGGGAAAAGGAACCAAGCTGGGCATTGCCCCCAGCCCCAGCAGAGATGCAGAAATGGCCTTGGGTTGTTCAGGTTGAACATCAGATTAATTTTTTAAAATTTTTTTCACCAAAAGGTGCCAAGCATTGGAGCAGACTGCCCAGGGGAGTCCCCATCCTTGGAGGGATTTAAAAGCCATGTGGATGTGGCACTTGGGGACATTGGTTGGCAGTGCTGGGGGAATGGCAGGACTTGGTCATCTCAGAGGGTTTTTCCAACTTAAAAAGTCCTGAAAGCTTCCACAGAGCTTTAGAAATGGCTCCTCTCCTCCAGACATCTCAGGGAAGTTCTGTTACCTAAATCCCAAGCCCTGCCTGCCCTCTGTTGGCTCACAGTGTCTCTTTCTGCCCCACCTGCAGGAACTTCAGGCTCAATTTAGGATTTCTCAGTCATGCTCACATCTAGAAACTTGTAGCCCTAAGCATCCACTAAAAGGCACAATATTTTAATAATTTCAATTTGTACAAATACCAGATGTTTGTGGTTTGACCCCCAGAAGAGCAGGAGCAGGAGATTTGGCTCCTACTTTACCATCACCTACCCCGGCACAAGTGACATCAGGTAGGCACAGGGCATGTGACAGACTTCACAATTATTTTATGGCAAGTATTCCTAATTCCCACTGGTTTTCTTCCCTCCCCTTCCATTTCCTGAAGGTGTGGCCATGCCTGACAAGCCTTGCTGGCTCATTTTTAGCAGGGGATGGCTGGGAACAGGGCCATATCTCCCTCCTGTAAAATGCTGTATTATGATTCTTCCCCAGCCTCAGAGGCTGGAGCTCTCTGTACCTGGCAGGGACCCCCCAGTGCCCCCAGACACTCAGGGCTGGGATCAGAGCTGGGCTAATTCCTGTTTGTTCATCAGGACACAACATCTCTGCAATTTCCTCACTCCTGCACAGTGGGGAAAAAAGATGCCTTCAATACCTCCTGCAAATCTCTTGGAGATTTACAGATAGAAAACTGCCTTATAAATATTTTAATGTACAAAGCCAAGTTTCCCAAGTACACAGAGCAATTTTGCTGAGACAAAGCGTCTTGTTTCAGCCATCAGAAATATGAAATATAAACTGAGAAGCCAGCCATGAGTTCTGGGTCCACTAACTCACAGCAGCCTACTCAGACAGTACATTTTGCTTTTTGCTACATAATATATTAACCAAACCAAATCTTAGGTTTATTTTTACAGATAATACAGAAAAAAAAGGGGAGAAAGCAAAAAAAAATAAAAGATACCTTGGCAAATATAGTCTTGACATAAATGGGCAGGTCTCCATGGGGACTTCCATACCCCCCTACAATGCTAAATCCCAGTCCATCAGAGCCTTTCTCCAAGGTAATAATCTTGGGCTGAGGTGCTCTGAAAACACAATAAATATCACTCAGATTAGCAGTGTCTGTCTCAGGAACACTTACACTGACATTTATCTACCATGAAGTTCTTTCACACAGTCACAATCCATGACCCTTGCACTGGAACATTCCTGCAAAGCCCAGAGTTCAAAGGCTGCTCTGTGTGCTCCAGCTCCTCACTAGGAAAAAATTATTTTTAAGGATTGTATTATACCCACATGCCTGTGCTCATAACTCCAGAGCTCATTAGCTGGAGCCTGAACTCTTCAGGGGTTTCCTCTGCCTACACTGACCAAAGGAAGATTTTTTTTGGTGGAATTTAGACCACTCATATGAATTTATCTATTTCATATTTGAAATTATGTGTAATTTATAATTATTTTAAAATAATTATTTAAAATGTATTTTAAATAAATTTATTAAAAATTAAATTTTACTTGACTATTTAAATAAATTTTATTCATGTAAAAAAAAATCAGGTGTGTAGAAAGAGCTGCTGTGAACAGAAGGTGGTGGCACAGCTGCCCAGGGCAGTGGTGGAGTGCCCAGCCCTGTGTGGATGTGGCACTTGGGGACAGGGGTCAGTGGTGGCTTTGGCAGTTGGACTCCATGATCTGACAGAGCTTTTCCAACCTAAACCATTCCATGATTCTATGGAAATCATTTGGCATCTTCCACCTCTCTAAAGGTGCAGCCCAAGCTGAGTAATATCTGTGCATTTTTTAGGATTTACCTAATTCTGCTTCATATTTTCACCTCCAAATTTCCCTGCTGCTTTGATATGAAAAAAGAATTGAAATCCTTCTGCAAAGCAAGCAGTTCTCCTTTGGGAGCAGCAATAAAACCAGTATCTCACATTGTAAGACCACAGAATGCAGCACAAGGAGCTCAACTTTTACACTCAACCCTCCTGAGGTAGGGCAGCAACTTCTTAAAATAAATAGAGTGAATCACAGAATGAAAATGGAGAGCATAATGAAAATGATGAGTTGAAATGGAGAATAAGTGAATTTCAAAATGGTAACTGGGATGCTACAGTGAGAAAAGCACATGATGGGAAATGATGCATGGCAGGGCTGGACCTCCAGCTTCCATCACCACACACAAGTGCTGCAAGCAGGAATGATTTTAATTCCATTTTTTGACTCATAAAGCGATAAAGATCGAAAAGACAAAGTCTTGTTTTGTAAGGTGTCTTTAACACCCCTGGCATCAGTCTGCCAATACCCAATTATTTCAAATTGCTATGATCACAACTCCTTCCAGATGAGGAAGCCAATGGACAAGGGCAGAAATACCATGTCAGCACAACATTAAGGAAGAAAGGGGACACTTTTTCCTTGAAAAACACCCAGAAATAGTGCTTTGAAACACATTTTGTGCTTATTTACTCCAGCAATTTCTGTCAGCAGGCGAAGACAGCCAGGAGCCCACCATCAGCCTGGGGAAGGTCACAGAGCTTTCATTTTACAGGTGATGGAAAAGCAGAGAAAGAAGCAGTGGGAGAGACCTCCCTGCACCTTTCCCAGCCCAGGAATCCCCCCCAGCCCTGCAGGAACTCACTCAGGCTCCTCGGAGGGGTGCTCGGAGGGCAGGCTGAGGCTGCAGCCCGTGGACATGCTCTCCAGCTGGCTGGCAATGGCACTGATGTTGGTGTCTGCCACCACCTGGGCAACAGGGAGGCAAGGAAACACGGGTTGGAAAATCAGCTGCTGGCTTTTACCCCAAGTAAAACCCAAATTCTACTCTTAAATCTCCACACTTTCAGGTAAGAGGAGCCACTTTTCTGGGGTTCAATGCAAATTTTGCTCTGAAGCTTCTCCTGCCCTCACAAGGCCATCACTCAGGCTCTGAGCAAAGGGGAAGAGTCTTTCTGGGCAATCCAGAGAAAAAAGCAGCTTTTCCAAGGAAAGAGAGCCAACACAAGGGGTCCAGGATGGCTCTTGAAAGAAACCACCACAACCTTTAAGAGAACCCCAAGACCCAAGGGACCATTGGGCAAAACCCTGAAATGCCTCAAACTGGTTTGATTGATGAGTAGGGAACAAATTGATCCTTGGTTTTGATTTCTCTGAATTTTTAGCCTGAAAACAAACTGGATTGTTCAACTTCCCAATTCTGGGTCCTCTCTTATTCTGAAAACATCCTGAGGGCTGGAGGACCTTTCTATGGAAAAGGTTTCCATGGAAAAGGGTTCCATGGAAAGGTTTCTTTCTCTAGGCTGGGAGAGCTGGGGGTGCTCACCTGGAGAAAAGGAGGTTCCAAGGAGAGCTCAGAGCTCTTTCCAGAGCCCAAAGGGGCTCCAGGAGAGCTGCAGAGGGACTGGGGACAAGGATGGAGGGACAGGACACAGGGAATGGCTCCCACTGCCAGAGGGCAGGGCTGGATGGGATATTGGGAAGGAATTCCTTCTGTGAGAGTAGTGAGGGCCCTGGTATTAACTTTATTTTTAATGAATTGATGCTGATTTTTAATTTACTTTGTTTTTTTCTGGAAAATTTTCAAAGAAACCACCACAAAGTGGTTTGGGTTTGAAGTATTTACAGCTGAAAGGACATCAATTTCCCAACAGGTTCACGCTGTGGTTATCCCCTAACTCCATCTCCCTCTGAGGGGATATTCCTCTCTGTCTGACATTTACTGCAGCACAGGAGTTCAGCTCAGACACAGTGAGGAACAGCCAGGAAGCACAATTCCAATATTTCCTCCAGCTATGGCCCTATTTTATCAAAGTCAGCAGGTACTTCTTCCACTCATTGCTGTGAATTTCGCTTTAAGGAAAACTTCCCTTTTCAAAGTAAGAAATGTGTTCTATAAATCTGTTTCAAATGAGTGCTCACAATTCTCCCATAGCAACATTTCCCTCTTTCCCAGCCACCTGGAGCCCAGAGGGTGATGGAGCCAGGAGGTTTCCATGCAAATTCTGCATCCAGGACTGGGGTTCCAGGATGCCCCAAAGGAAAGGGGTCCAGCAGGTGAGAACAGCTCCTGGCTCAGCCAGCACAGACCCCACCAAGGCTCCCTTCCTGTGCCATCACAGTAAGGAATTCCAGCCAGGATTTGTCTTTTTTTTTTTGTTGTTGCTCAATAAAATGAGGGTAAAACCAAATCTGTATTCAAAAATCTTCAGCTGGCAGCAAGAACACATCAGAGTTCAACAACCTTGTGAAAAAGCTCCCCCTTATCTCATTACTACACCTGCAGAAAAGAAATTAAATTAAACCAAGGCATCAAAACAGCTGAGAGGGATGATTGCTCCCCTGAGACCTTAATCTGCCATTTGCAAACAGCATTTGCAAACCCCTTCCTCCCCAGGACGTGCCCACAATAAGCCTTTCCAGCCCACTGAACACAATTATCTGACCCCTCAGAGCAGTGGCCCACCCTGATAATAAACAGAATTACTTCATGGCACCCCACTCGTGATGATCACAGTGATAGGGCTGCTCCTTTTGGAGGGTTTTGGTTAAAAAGGAGCAGTTTGGTGGTGGAGAGGCTCCTGTGCTTGCTGGGGAAGGGAAGCACCACCAGGCTTTGACACCACTCCAGGTGCTAAAACACAACACCCCACTTTCCCAGAGCAGGTTTCTGATAGAGGCAAACAGCCTCTATTCTATCCCAATAAACTCCATCATCTGAGAACAGCACCAAGCTCATTGCAATGAGGCAGAATGCTCAGAAGAAGGAAAAGAGCCAACTGACAGCCCCAAAGGCACTTCCAGAAGCAGCTCTTTGACCCAGTGGCACTTCTAGAAGCAGCTCTTTGTTTGTGGGAGCCACCCGGTGCCAGAGTGCCCCATCAGGAATATTTTTAAATCCATCATGAGGTGCAATATTGAGCTGTATTACAGCTTTCAAAGATGAGCAATTTTGGGTTCTGCAGCAAGCTTTCATTTTCTATTCAGGGAACACTGTTGACATGAAAAGTGAAATTGCTCAACGTTGGTAACAATATGATAACTATAATTTAACAGAGAATCCTCAGCTGGTGTGAATCTGTGTGTTTCCTCTGACTTCAATGGAACTACACAAAACACCATCTGCTCTGGAACTGGCTCATCACTTACTGGGTCAGCAGTTCATGGACAGACAAAACAAAGAATGAGCAAGTCTCAAACTAAGTTTATTATCATTTCATTGCCTCTTTTTTCTTCCCCCCCTCACCCCTGTTTTTTATAGTCTCATTTGTGTCATAATACAAGCAGGAAGCTTGCAAAAGTCCCTCAGGATGAGTTCCAATCCAAAATGCTGTGATGAAAAAGGGAGTTAAGAGCAGATTTTAGTGGTGCCTTCAGCTTGTTTTCCAATTGTTGCAATAATTCTGCTAAAGAGGAGAATTTTGAATTCTAACTGGCAAGTATTTCCCCCATTTCCTTGTGTAAACATAAAAATAAGCTATGGATCAGCACAGTGGCAGGCAGCAATCAGAAGCAATGTGGCAGAATCTGTCCCTTTTAGCTCCCAGAGAAACACAGCAGTGACAGCTCTGTTTTCTCTCTTCACTGTTTTATCCTTCACCTGATGAATAATCAGTTCCAGGCAGCTCTGACTCAGTGATGATGCCACCAGTTTTCCTAAATTCTGCTAGAATTTCCTTCAGGGACAAGGAATCCACCCTGTGGGTCCCTGTCTCATTACATCACAAGCACACACACACATTTTCTTGTTCCTAGTTAACTTCCAATTAAAAAAAAACAAACCCCACAACTTGGAAGCTTGTTGATTTATCACGTGTGGCAACAAGTTATTTTGTTCCCTTTGTTGTGCTTTTACAGAGCCATGCTCACAGCCTGTGTGAATGGCAATAAAGAATTTTTGAATGGAAATGATTTCTTGCTCTCCTTCTGTGTAATTCCCACCAGCAAAGCACTCTGCAATTCTGTGATGCCTTATGCCAGGGATGCTCAGGGATTTTTTTTTCCTTTCCTGAATGCCATTTATCTACCCTGCTGCAGCTGCATGTTCAATTTATCACCATACCTGCAGGATAATGCTCCCATAAGCATTCTTTAGTAGATTAACTGCATCTGCATGAGACAGCCCATCCAAAGGTTGCCCATTAATGCTGACAATCCGATCTCCAACCTGAAAGTACAACAGCAATGGAAAATTACCAGCATTAGGGAAAATTAAAAATTAAGAATGCTTAAAATTCCTCGTGAACTTGGCACTGCACAGTCATGCTTCTCTTTTGCAGGATCCCTTTTGTGAGGATTCTGCACTGCCAGTGATCATTTCCCATTCTTTTTTTAACACTAACAATATGATCAGAGAAAACAAAGATGGGTTGTGTTTTGCTCTTTCTATTTGCAAGCAGAGAGGGAGGGGGATTTTCTCTGCTGTCCTTCCATCCAGAAAGGATTCATTTGTGCCTGAATGTGCAGACAAGTTCATATTCTTCCAGACCTTGTAAGCACGTGCTGAATGTTGTAGGGGAGAGAAGGAACTTCTGATATTAATCCAATTAACCTGGATGATTTCTTCTTCCTACACACAGAAAAATGATGTCGACCCTGTCATTGTTTAATTCCATCAGAGACAAGGCAGGAGTGTAGCAGCATGTCCTAATGAATCTCATGGGCCAAAGCACGTGGATCTGCATAATAAATTCTTCTCAATCCTCCTGATTCCTTGAGACTCTCTCCAAAACTGGAAGTGTTCACCATGGCCATGCCTGGAAACCCACACGTGCTGTGGGTCTGACACAAGTGCCTTGTTTTGCTGTTTATTTAAGATCAAACAACTCATTTCTGACCTGGTTTCTTCTTTCTTTCTTTCTTTCTTTCATTTCTGGTTGGAGCTCTAAAGATGCCCAGTCTGGAGTTCCCAAAATACCTGTGGTTTCCAGAGGGCCTCTTGCTGCCCTGCCTGGTTCTGGATGAGCACAGACATTCCATGACCACTATAAATGCATTTAAGCTCCTTCTCTTTACATCACTTTCCCAATATGGGCAGCAATTGCCCAGATGGGAAGAGAAGGGCAGATTTGTTTTTTGGGGTGGGTTTTTTTGTTTGTTTGTTTTTTCCTTGTTGTTGTTGTTTTGCTTTTATATAAATAGAGGCAGAGCAGTCTGTGAGAGATTATCACTGACAGCAGATGCAGAAGTTCTTGAGGCTTCAAGGGACAGGTGGGAGATGAAACAGGAAATATTAGGGGCCTAATATTTCCTAATATGAGGAACTATTAGGAGACAGCAGGGCCCCTGTACTCACTCTGAGCCTCTGCGTGCGAGCAGCCACTCCGCTGGCCTGGATCATGGCGATGAAGATGGGGATGTCCCCCAGGGGACTGCCCTTCCCTCCTGCTATGCTGACACCCAGGGCATCATATGGGCCCTGGAACACAGCAAAAAACCCATCTGCAGCAGGGGCAACTGGCAGAGTGCAGGGTATGGCAGCACTGACTGCTTAGATTGGTGGAACAGGAGAAAATGGGTCTGACACACACATCTCCTCACCCAAAGCACAGGCACACATCCAACCCTGAGTGCACACACAAATCAGGCAGCCTGACTCGAGAGAAATGCTGCAAAAATGAACAGTTTCAGTGGAAGGACCTGGCTTTGTGAATGGGCAGAAAACAACTCACTGACCCTCGTTATCTCCACAGTCCTCGGGCCCGTATCGGCGCCTCCTAATAAAGAAACAAACAATTAGCTTCTGTAATTAAGAGATAATATAATTAAGAGATAACACTGTCAGGTGACAACGGTCCCTTGCTGCCTAGGCAGAGTTATCACCAGGCAGGAGTGGAGGCTTCCTGTGCCAAGGCAAGCAGTGAGGAGGAGGAGGAGGAGGAGGAGGAGGAGGAGGAGGAAGGATGAATGTGGTGCAATCCCTCCCGGTGTCACCCTGACTCCCATTGTAGCCCAGGCACAATCTGTGGCACTGCAGCACTCTGCCAGCCTGCAGAACAGCCCTATTGTGCCCTCACTCAATTAAAGATTGGATTATTATTCCTAAATCCCAGCGTCCTTGCACAAAGGGCTCTGGGAATGGAGCGGTTCCAGGGATCTCCTCTTCTTCCCCTTTGGGCTGTGCTGGAAAATAATGGACAGAAATAATGGACAGGCAGGAAGTCAGGATGGTGTGCATCCAGTTAAAAGGGTGTGGAAAAGTATTCAAAATACTGGGAAAGGGGAGGGAAAAGGGAAAGAAAATGGGAAGGAAAAGGGGAAAGAAAAGGGGAAGGGAAAGGGAAAAGAAAAGAGGAAGGAAAAGGAGAAAGGAAAGGGGAAAGGAAAAGCGAAAGGAAAGGGGAAAGGAAAGGGAAGGAAAAGGGGAAAGGGGAAAGAAAAGGGGAAGGAAAAGGGAAAAGAAAAGAGGAAGGAAAAGGGGAAAGGAAAGGGGAAAGAAAAGAGGAAGGAAAAGGGGAAAGGAAAGGGAAGGAAAAGGGGAAGGAAAAGGGGAAAAAAAAGGGGAAAGAGTAAGGATGAGGAAAAGGAAAAACGGAAGGTAATAAAGATGAGAGGGAAAGGAAAAGGGTAAGAGGAAAAAAGGAGGAAGGAAAGTGGGAAAGGGGGAAGGGAAGAGTGGAGAGGAGAATAAAAAGTAAAGAAAAAAAGGCACAGAGAGACTTCAGAGTTTAGTTCAAACTGCAACTTTTTCAGCCCAGGAAGCTGATGGTGTAGTCAGGTCCTGAGCTCTGCTACACCCACCCCTAACTGAATCAGCTTTAATGAAACTAGAAGGCTGGCAGAGAAAATCTCCTCCAAAATTCCACAATTCCTACCCCCCACACCAGCACTCCCCACATCCATGCAGGTGTGCCTGGGCAGGAGCTCTTTGGCACTGGGAGCCCAGCCCTGGGACACCAAAGCAGGGTCAGGAAATGCCCAGACAGCACCACGAAGGATAAGGAGGCCCAAAAGCCACCAGGCTCCTGCAGAAGAAATGTCTTCTCCTCCTGCCCATGGTCAGATGTGAGCAAAGATTCCCAAATCCCGGAGCCACCCTCTCCAGGCTGCTGTAGGTTTTGGATTTTTAACACTCTCTAAACCTGCAAACTGGGCATTGTGACTCTCTCATTACAAAACACCCCTTTATGCACTCAAGAGCAACAGAGATATAAATGAGGTGGTGGCAGCTTTATTCCCTGAGAAAACCATTCCTAATGTGAGAACCATGCCTGTGCTAAGGCTCTGACAAGGGGAATGGCAGGGCACAGGAATTCTGCACTTAAAACAGAGGGGCCACTCCTCCTCCAGCAGAAATAAAAATAATAAAAATAATGTCATCTTCTGGGAAGTGTTTGGGTCTAAAAACATCCGTGGGGCATCTTTGGGGAGGCTGGGCAGGAAAGGCAGACTTGAGTGCTCAGTTTGGCTTTCAAAGCAGCAGGGTACAGAGCAAACCCCATCAGCTGTTCTGACAGCTGCCCAGTTCGTACCTGAGCCTCTCTGGGCTGTGTCTGCTGAGGATCTCTTGGTGCTGACAAAGTTCTGCAGGCTGGAGAGGACGGGGGCGAGCGCGGGGTGGAAGTGGCTGTGGGCACTCTGCTGGCTCGCCTGAGGGTGAAAATAGAGAACAAAACCCATGAGTCAAACCCCAAAGCGAACTTTAAACCAGACCCTGTGACAGATGGGAGCAGCTGTGCTCTGTGCCAGCCACGCTGGAAATGCCACATTGGCCACGCCAGTGCAAACCCCTCTGTGAGGGGAACTGACCAAAATCTCCCCGTGGAGGTGAAGTCACCACCCCTGCAGGGATGGAACAGATGTGTGGATGTGGCACTCGGCACAGGGGTTAGTGCTGGGCTTGGCAGTGCTGGGGAATGCTTGGATCTGATGGCCTCAGAGGGGTTTTCCAACCTCAGTGATCCTGTGGTGCTGCTCACAGTGCTACACACCCTTATTCCACATTTATGTGTTGCTCAGGTCAGCTTCAGACAGTGTTCCTCTCTCTCAGCTGCTCCCTGGGTGTCCCACACCTCAGGAGAAGGGGAAATGAAATGATGGGCACTTTCCCTGTGGTGCCCCTGCATGCCCAAGCACCCAGGAGGACCAAGAGCTGCTCTCTCACATGAGGGGGATAACAGGGACACCCATCCTGTCACTGGCAGGAATCTTTGCTGGTTTAGCTGAATACACTGCAATTGCTCCTCCTATCTGCCCAAGAACCTCCTCTCATTTCTAGAAGAACATGGCAGATGACACAGGAGAGCCTCCAAAGGGAGAAGCTCACTCCTGCTGCCCTTCCCATTTCCCTCCGTTTCCTTCTCTCCTTTTCTGCTTTTATCTTTGATGCCTTGTGCAGGCTGCCCTGGAGCAGAGTCCCAGAATAAAGCAGGGATTTATTCCAAGGATCTCCTCCATGGATCCACCTTGGGCAGCACCAGAGCCCAGCCAGGGCTGCACCCAAGATGAACCAAAATGGCCCCAAAATGCACGAGGGGCACGGGCTCTGTCCCTGGGATCAGTTCTGCTCCATTTGCACCTTGCAGTTCATTGTCCCATCCCAGCTTTAGCCCAAGCAGTCCCACCCTGCTTGTTTTTCTCTCTCCAGCCCATGGGGTTTGTGCTCTGGGCTGAGATTTGGGTCATTTGTCCTTGGTGCCCAGCTGGAGCAGGAATTGTTTTGTCTTCCTGCTCTGTGCACAGAGCTCAGCATCCCCTCATGTGAAGCTCAGAACTGCAGACTAAAGCAGCACAGAATCTGAATAATATCAAATTTAAAACCTGAGGTATCATCTTCAGGCTCTGACCCTTGAGGAAACCCAACCATCAATTTAGGAAGTGCACCTGAACAGGTTCCACCGAGGGCCAGACCTTTCCAACTGAGCTGCCTTGTCCAAAACAAAGACCTGCTCCATCCTTGTCCATGCAGAGCAGAGATTTCTCCCCAAACCCACCAGCTGGTGACTCAAGATCCCTGACACATTTATCCCACTGGCCAGAGTGCAGCTGTCAGTGACAAACACCAGGCACAGCACAGCTCCCAGCCCTGGGTGCCAATCCATGGCCCAGTTAACAACATTTGCAATGCCTGTCAAAGAAACCCTTGTTTCTATTTCCAGGGCTCAAGGGATGCAGTGGGCCCAGAAAAAAGCCAAGTGAGGACAAAAGGTCTGGATGCTCTTGGCCAGCACCTTCTAAAGCAGAGCTTGCAGTTGTGCAAATCACTCAGGCTGGTTTGCTGCATCATCTGCCAAGATTTTTATAACTCTTGGAAGGGTTTTGGTGAGAAACATTTATTCAGTTTTCAAAATCACCAAGTCACTTCAGAGCAGGGAGATGAAGGCTCTCAAACGACTCTGCATCAAGGAGATTAGGATTTCTTGTGGTAAAAGAAAGGCAGGATTTACCAGGTTCCTGCAAAAGCCTCTTATGCTACAAAAAAGGGAGATGATGTCATTGGATCTGAATTTTTACCTAAACTCACATTAGATATTATGGCATTTTGCTTCCCTTTCAGCTTGAGCTTCACATGGTAAAACCAGGTGGGCAATTTTTAGCTGTCACTTTTTGATTACCTTGATACAATGGCCAAAACAAAATCTAATACCTGGCTGCTGACTTAATGCAATCAGTGCAATTTCCCTCTGTTCCTTCACCTCTCCCTGCCTGCTGCATGCATTGCAGATGTTTTTCCAGAGCCAGTATTTTTAAAGCTGGGCTCAGCCCAGCTGTTCCCACATGGTTTTAGCCCCTCCTGGTTCCTCAGCACCTCCAGCCAGCCAGGGCCACTGCTGGCCCTCAGGAAGTGAAGAAATCCCAACATGCTGTGATAATTTTGGCACCTTTTTGGGGCTGTGAAGAAATCCCACCATGCTGTGATAATTTTGGTACCTTTTTGGGGCTGCTCATGGACAGAACCCTTCCAGACCTCCTTAAAAACATTCCTGCTTTAACTCACATCTCCCCTAAGCCTCCTATGGCCCCTCCTCTCTGTTTCCAAAACACAAACCCTTCTTTTAGCAGTGCTGGATCCCCTCATGTGCAGCTTCCCCGTGGCCAGAGCCCCCCACAGCCTCACCCTGCTGTGATCCCCCCTTTTAGACACTGGCACCCTAAACAGAATGGCAAAGCAGTTGATTTTCAGAAGGAAAACTCATTAAGAAGAAGTTTTCCAAGTCACTGTTCCTTGTTTCTCCCCCTGCAATGCTCCAGGTTTAACACCAAGAACTGGAGTCTGAGCAGAATGGGGGGCACAGGGAGAGGGGAAAGGCCCTGCTCTGATTGAGAAATGAATTGTTGTCTTCGCATCAGGTAAAGAGCAAGCGAAGCAGGAAATTGCTCTATGTTCTCTTGGAGGGGAAAGCAACTCTCCTGTGGTTCTGCTGGAAGATAGGCAGAGATACAGTTTGGTTCCATTAGCTCCTTTTGATAGACAAAACAGCTGCACCAAATAGATTCAGGCAGTTTTTGCAAGTCTTCAAACCAAAAATTTCTGGGCATCATCACTTGAGAAAGATATTCCAGATTTTTGGTGTGTCTTGGGAAGACACTCCTTCAGCAATAAATACATTAACCAGCTCTTCTGCTCCGTCAGCATTTCAGCACTGAAAATGATGGGGATAAAATGTTGTGTTCCCCACCCTCAGCAGTGTCTGTGGGAGGATGAGCTCCATGTGCACATCTGTGCACCATCCCTGTGCTCTGCCCCTCACAGCTTCAGTTTAAACAGAGGAATTTGTCACTAACCTGACTGTTCTGGGATGTTTTCCTTGATGACAGCCATGACCCAGCTCGCAATCTCCCAAGCTCAAGATGCACCAGGCCTTGGGCACACTTGGAAAAAAAACAGAAAAACAAAAAACAACCCACAATGTACAATTTAAGTAGACATATAATATTTCATGCTCTCCTGGAGAGAATTATGTTTATATTCAGCACCACAAGTCCGTGAAGAAAGCCAAAAGGAATGCTCAAAACATGAACACTTGTATTTAGACAATACAAAAAGTGGATTTAGGCTTGTCCTGAAGGTTCCTCCTGGTTGCTGAATTTAGTATGAATCTCCCCCCTTGCAAACTGATGGCCAATTTACTCAGGAAAAAGAAACAAAACCCCCAAACTCTTTAGCAGAGATTTGAAAAACCCTTCAGAGGCAAAATGCTGCAGAAAAGGGCGAATTTAACCCATATGGATCCAACTTAACAAAATACCCTCGCACCACCGGTTCCCAATTCTTAAATAGGTAAACTTTTGGCAAGGCACCAGCCCTGAATGGAAAAAGCAAGGAAATAATTAGCCTTTCCCCTGAAGAATGAAAGAAATCATGTGCAGAAACAGTGGTGGGGATGGCAGGGGGAAGCCCCGGGGGCAGATGCAGTTTGGAACAGAAATGGGTCTTCAGCATGCACTGATGGCACTCATGGCCATCCCACCCCTGCCCATGGAAAAAGGCAGCTTCTCCCAGAACTTCAGGGTAAAATCCCCCCTGGAGGATGGGAAGCTGTGCAGGAACAGATTTAAGCTGTCATTTTAGGTCACCACAGCAAAGCCAAAGATTTATTTCAGTTTTGGTTTGTGTTACCACTCCCGTTTCCAAGTGTTTTTCTAACACAGTTGCATTTTGAAATAAATGCCTAAATACTAAATGTGCCTTTGTGTTCCTGCTTCATATCATCCAATTCCTAGAAATACACAGAGAAGTGACTTTAAATGAACCTCCCAGTTATTTCCAATGAAATTCCTGTCTCAGTAATCAGCTGGAGCTGTCCTGTGTATGGTAAATAGCACTTCAGGATAATTACCTTGCACAGTGTCAGTAACTGCAATTCAATATCTCAGAATGTATTCTGTACTCACCTTAAGTGTAGTGGCAACAGTCTCTTGTGAGGCATTTCTCATATCCTCCCCATTTACAGACAAAATCTGATCTCCTTGAATTAATCTTCCATCTAGGTCTGCAGCTCCTCCTTTAACAATGTCAGAGATAAACACTCCACTTCCATTTCTAACAATGCAAGAAGCATATGGCTAATTACACAATCCAATATTCTTTGGGAGACCAATTTAGATTACTTGCATTTAAGAGACATTAAAAGAAACCTGTGAGCAGAGGAAGAACCAGTTTTACACCCCATTCAGCTGTGTAAAAAATCGATGACTTTTAAAACCACAGCAAGTTTTGCTAATATTTAATGCTGTCTTTCTCCTTGAACTTCTAGTTCTGTATGTAGGATACATAGAGATTTATGGAAAACACCATTTATATGAATAGGATTGGTCTATAATGGAGTTAAACTATCTCCTGATGGGTTAGTGGTGGAGCTGGCAGGGTTAGGTTAAAGGTTGGACTCAGTGATCTTGGTGGGCTTTTTCACCCTGAATGATTCTGTGGTGTGAGCTGGTGCCAAATCTGGATTTTTTTCATCTTTCACCTGAAGCACACAACATTTCCCACCCTGAATTATACCTGGACACCATTTAACAAATTTCAGCAATTGGGTTCTTTCTAAGGAGGGGCTCCCCACCATGAAGAATTCAGGAGTAGCACTGAAGTTCAGCTCAGAAGCAAAGGGAGGAGGGCTGGAGACTGTGATTACCATCTGCAGGGTAATTTACATAATCTAAATTAATTACCCACCCCACAATCTGCTCACAACACCTGGGTTAAACACTGCCACCCAAAAACTGCTGCAGAAACTCTGCTGACCACGGGCAGTCAGGATAATGACACGGTGCTTTGTAATTGCAGAAGTAAATTATTTTTGGCAATGCAGGATGGCAACTCCAACGCTGAACAAGTGTCATGCCATAAATCTCTTTTAGCAAAGGAAGATTAAAACTATCAGTGCTCTGGTTTGAGTGATCTAATAGCAGTGGTTTAGAGATGTATCAGGAAAAAGTCACATTTTATTAGGCTGCTGTTACTTCCCACTGCATTCCTCTCTACAATTCCCTGACACAAGGGTGGAACCAGGACAGCACAAGAGGAAACGGCCTCAGGGGAGGTTTGGGCTGGATATCAGGAAGAATTTCTTCATGCAAAGGGTGGTCAGACATTGGCAGGGAGGTTTGGAGTGCCCATCCCTGCAGGTGTCCAGGGAAGGACTGGAGGTGGCACCCAGAGCTCTGGGTGGGTGACATCGGTCAGAGGTTGGGCTGGATGACCTTGGAGGGCTTTTCGAGTCCCAGTGGTTCTGTATCTCAGGTTCTGCTCTGCAAACTGCTCTCTGCAGGGTGGCACAGCCCCCTGAGCTGCTCAGGGCTTGGGTCTAACTCAGCCTCTCACCCTCCACTGGCTTCAGTGCCTTTGAACCGAGCATGAGATCAATCCAACTCACAAATCCTTCTGCAAGGAGATAGGGTAGGTTTATCCCCTAGTTCAGAAACCAGAAGAGCCATGGTTAGGGCCTGCAAAGCCCTGAGACAGAGTTACCCTGATGGCACAGGAGAGTGAGCCCCCAGTTCTGCATGGGGTCCCCTCTCTGTGCTGGAGCTCCCCTGGGCAGCCACAGCCTCCAGTTCTCAGCTCTGTTCTGACACAGCAGCCAGAACCACAGCCCCATCCCATCCTGGGAGACATCTACATATAAAATTCTGCTCCTTATGGAGTCTTCCCCCTTTATTTCACATTCCATAATGTCTACAGTTGTTTCACACATCAAGATCCCAATTATTCCCCATTGGGAGCGCTGTCAGACCAGAGACATTCTTACCGTTTCCCAGCTATGCTGAGCCCCAGCCCTCTGCCCGTTTTCTTTTGGATATCCACAGAGAAAATCTCCAGGTTTTCTTCATCCTTGTAGTGTGCCTCGTTCCTGTACACCACCAGCTGCACCTTCTGGGGCGTCTGCCGGAGGGCAGTGATGGCCTCCTCGTGGCTGGCGCTGCGCAGATCGATCCCGTTCACCTGCAACCAGCAGCGTTTGCTTTCCCCATGACACGGATAAATGATCCTTTCATCACACCCTGCCCCTGGGTGACAGCCCACATTTGTCAATCTGACACCCCTTGGTGCTCTAATTGAGAGTTCCCATTCCCAGAGGGAGATCCTGGGTTTCCTGCGGAGTGTGAGCTCGGAGCTTTGTGCCTCTGCCTGCAGTAAATCCCAACAATCAGAACATTTGGGCTTGGAAGTTTTGGGTGTTCTTCCCTGCTTTTTAACTTCAAGCCTTTGGAAACTCAAGTAATGCTTCTTTCTCTGTGGGATGTGCTCCTTTGAGCTCCCTGTGTATCTCAGTACTCAGATCCCTTCTCCCCCAGCTCGGTAATATCATCAAGATCAAAACAGGGAATCAGAAGCACCAGCAAATAAATGGCCTCAGAGAATCCCAGCAAATAATGGCCACAGAGAATCCCAGGCAGGATGTATTCAGTGGTGATTTTCCTTTTTCCCCAATAGATGGCACACCAGACCGCTGCTGGAGCAGCCAGCTAACACTTCTCTTACCAAAACCTGAGGTGGTTTCAGCATTTTAGCAATGTCAGAGCAAGAAGTTCTGCTTAAATGTTCCATTAAAAAACCCTATTGGAATGTGAAATTCAATCTAATTTTGCCAAGCCTGATCCACAAGTGCCCTTTAAGGTGTTTGACAATATTTTGTCAACTAAATCATCTTTTATTTCTTCATACCAAAACATATCAATACTTAGACATTTTTGAAGTTTCTTTAGGAAGCAGCATGAACTGCAACAGAATAACCACAAATGTAAATCTACTTCCATGAGTTTTAAGGCTATGAAAATATTTCTCAGAATTTCTAGATATGCAAAGCTACAATAATATCTAATTTTACATTAAGATAATTAAGGCTAATCTTTATTCCCTATATTCTTTTGTACCAACTCTGCACACATTTATTTATAAGTGCATTGATATTCTTTCCTTGACACAGGCATCAACGTGTGCTTTATCACACTAATCTGAAACTAATTCAGCCATCTTTTTGATTAATACAGCTTTTAAAAGCTGAAATAATAACAATATTATGGCTCACAAACATTAGCACTTTCCTGTTTGGCCAGAGAAGAATTAATTAACCTGCTCCATTCTTACCCCCTAATTACTGTGCTCTGTTAATACCCCGTTATTTATAAAACCCAAACAACACTGGGCCTCAACGCTAACAAAAATATTTGCAGTGCAAGAGCTGTAAAGACAACTCCCCAAGTACCCCTTGCTATTTTCCTAACCCTACACACCGAGGCCTTAATGGCCATGCTGGGAATTTGTCCTGAGCTGACAGCAGAGCTGCAAAGCAGCTGCTCTGAACCCCTGCCTGACGCAGGTTTCATTTGCAGACCAGCATTTCTCTCTTAACCCTTTCCCTCCACATTTTCCCTGCTTGTCTGGGGGAAAAACACCACATTTAATCCCAGCAGCCATTCCCAAGCTGAGTGGAGTGTGGCCTGGGGAAGCTGGGAGGGATGCAGGGATGCTGGCAGGGATGCAGGGAGGGAGGCAGGGATGCTCACAGGGATGCAAGGAGGGATGCAGGGATGCAGGAAGGGATGCTCACAGGGATGCTGGCAGGGATGCAGGGAAGGATGCAGGGATGCAGGCAGGGATGCAAGGAGGGATGCAGGGATGCAGGGAGGGATGCTCACAGGGATGCTCACAAGGATGCTGGCAGGAATGCTCACAGAAAACTCAAGCCCCAGCCCAGGGGGCTTAAAGACCTCAGCACAGAACCCAAGACCCCTGTGCCTTTGATTAAGCCCTTAGAAAAAACAATTGCCAACCTTTTATAAAGAATTACAAACCATGAAAGGTTAAGTAGAATGATAGTGAATTTATCACAGAGTGAAAAAATAGATTTTTAAAGTTTTTAGAATGAAGGTTCAAAAAGCAAGATTGAAGAATCTAAGTGTGGCCAGCCTTTCTCCTTCTTCTTGGCCTCCATCTCCTGCTGTGATGGTGGCACTTTTAGATTGGTTTAGAGTAGAAGCTCACTGTCTAACATAAGTGATAAGTATTAAACAGTAATTGTAAATATTGTACATGTAGTTTTTAGTATAAAAAGATAACACCACCCCAAAAGCAAGCAGAGTGCCTCTAACTGTCTTGCTGAGCAGATCTCAGCAAGACAAGAGAAAGAATTTTATAAATAAAATACAATAAACAACTTTAAGACCAAAAAATTAAGAGCTCTGGCTCCTTTTTCGAGCGCCAAGCAAAGAAAAGAGACTCTCTAATGTTTCTCAGAGTCTGTGGGGTGATGCTGACAGGGATGCTGGGGGGTGATGCTCACAGGGATACTGGAAGGGATGCTCCAGCCACCTTCTCCTGCTCACCCCACGTTATCCCAGCTCAATGTTTGGATTTCAGGCAGAGCAGAGATACAGGAGTGGTGCTGGAAGAGCAGGGCTCCGAATGAAAGATTAAAGAGATGAATAATACCAAGCTATTGGACATGACAGCTGAACTATGTAATTCAAGAACTGCCTTGCTCAATTAAATTTAATGTATTCTCAATTTGTACCTTCAGTTTATATGAATATATAAGGAAATATGAATTTTTCAGGACGTTCTTGGTGACAGAAGGGAAGCCTTGAGAATGGTTCCTCTTCAACCTACAAGGGAGCTCTGTTGAACTGAAAACAAGTCTCCACAACCAAACACAGACACAGAGAATGTCATTTACCTCCAGAATCTGATCACCAGCCCACAGTCTGCCATCTCGGGCTGCTGCCCCTTCTTCATAAACTTCATGGATCACTATGGCATCCTGTGGGAAGAAGGCAGAGGCATGAATCCTGCTTCCCCATCAGCCCCAAACTGGCCACCATGACCCACCCCACACTCCCCACCATCTCCACAGGCAAAAACACAGCACTCCAAGCCAGGAGAAGCAAGACTGTAACACAGGTTTTTCAAATTTTCAGTGTTTTGGGATAAGAAAGCGACTCCTGTAATCAAAAACTGGTATAAAGGTACAAAGGATTTTGTTCCCCACTTCAGGGCAGTCTTGTCTAGAGCTTCTTCCATCATTTTTATGCATTGGCACCAGCAGCACATGAACTCAGTGTGAACTGTAGTATTAATATAGTCTACTTTTAATGATATTATTTAAAACCAGATTCTTTGGAGCTATGAATATTTTTAGGGACTTGGCATAGACCTCAGCTTTAAGCAAGAGCTGAATGCCTTGTGGTAAATAGCACTGGTTAAATCTGTAAGAAATGAAATCCAGAAGAAAGGAACAATGGCAAATGTTAGTTTATTACTGAGGTTGGAAAATGTAGGCAGTGGCAGATGTAGCTTCAGGGAAGGTTTCAGTGATTTAATCTTACTGCCAGCAATAGATATCCCCAAAGAAAAAGCATTACAAAGAACACACTGTTCTCTTGCTGGTGCTTTCCCTTTGCATTGTTCTGGTTTGTTTGTTTCTTTTTTTTTTTTTTCTTTTTGTTTAAAAAAATATATATAGGTGAGCATCCTATTACAGAGCTTCATCTTGCAGGATGGGATGCTCCTGTTCGTGTGCCAAACCTGCTCCTCTCTCAGCAGAACCAGCAAACCCTCAGCCTCAGAGCTGGCTCTGGGCAAACACCCGGAGATTTTAAATTCCACACGTAGGTTCTGGATAACCCAAGCTCAAATAACCCAACAGGAACAAGCCAAAGAGGAGCTTTCCCACAGAGCTCCCAAGGAAAGCTGGTGAGGTTGGAGCATGGGAACCCCGCTGTGGATGGAGCAGGGGCAGGGAATTGCTGCTGGGGTGGGAAAAGTTTGGAGCTCTCCAAGTCTGGATATCACCCTTGGGTACATCTCTCATCATCAATTCGCCCCTTGGCCCATGATCCTTTCCCAGCACAGAAAAAAAACCAGAACAAAACTGCAGTGCCCTTCAGGTAACGCTCAGATCACGACACTGAGATCACAATTCCCTTTCATTCCCACTACAGCTCATTTAATGATGGGATCTTGCTGGAGCACAGCACCACTGCCACGGGTTCCCTCTGATCCATGGACACCAGTCCCTGAAAAAAGCCTGGGGGACTGCAAACACAAATGGATTACAGCTGATACTAGAGTTCCAGATGGGGGAAAAGGAGATTTCAATCTGCACAAATGAAGGGGACACACTATGAGCTGGGTGGCAAGTAATTAAGAAAATCAAAAGAGTGGTTTGATTAAAAAATAAAATAAAATACAGATATATACACACACCCCTGGCAACTGCAGGGTTTTTTTTGCAATAACTGAAGCAACAAATACTAAAAAAATAGAGCAGCACAGGCATGTCCATCTTCTCCCTGTTGTGGGGTTTGGGTTGTTGTGGGGTTTTGGTTGGTTGGTTTGGGGTTCAGGTATTTTTCAACTTTGTTTAACAAATGATGGTGTTACTCCAAAGCAGTGCAAGAGATTTTAGGCAGGGAGAAGTGGCCAATGAGAGAACACAAAATATTGACCAGCTTGTGAAGAAACATCATTCACACCAGGGCAGTGGATGGCCAGGAGGTTTGGCAGAAAACTGACAGAAAATCATGGGATTGCACACTGGGCATGTACACAGGATGGTCAAATTAAACCTTTTCAGACTGGATTTAATCTCATATTTCCTCAAATCTGAGCAAAGACCTTTCAATCACATCTTTTTAAGTTTGTTTTCCATCTGTGGTTGCTTTTAAAACATCCACCAACCTGGAGTTAGCAGCTTTTCCCAGCACTGCTTTATTAAATGTAAAACTGCACATACCGAAGGCTCAGACCCAGGAACCACCAAGTGTTATCAGCTCGGATAATCTGCATCATCTATTTGAAAAGGCAACACTTCAGTGCTACACTGTGGTTCCTGCATGTGTGAGAAGCCAGACCCAGGACTAAAAATACACATGGCATGAAAAGGTACATTCCTGCTCGCTCTGTGCCTACCCTGCAGAAGGAAACATCTCGTTGATCTGCCAAAACACTGTTTTTCTTAAGCAGGATTTTTTTTAAAGTAGTGTAGCTGAACCAGGCTTATCAAATCGATTAAAAACAGAACACAGCAACGTGTCCATGATGCACTGTAAAGATTTCTGAATAGTCCATAGGCATAAATGTCAGTTTTAGTTTTCCTGAGCTTATGAAGCATGGCAAACATCTCTTTCCTCTGATACTCCTGGGATCAGCTCAAAGCACTTAACCCAGAAGTATTTTTTTTTCCACTGAATCTAGTGGGATCTGGATAAGACTCTGTTAGTTTTGATCATCCATGACAAATCACTAAAACCAAACTACTGATGCTAGTGAACATTTTTAATAATATCAATATTTTAAAAGACTTTATGCAGTGATGAGATGTCATATTCCAGCCATCCAACCAAGCTGTAATGACTCTATCAACAGGCATGGATTGAAGCTGGAACACCCCTCTCAGTCCCTCAGAAAAAAAACAGAATCTATTATGATTGAAACAATACATTTATTTAAAGGATGGCTTTTGGTTTCTGGACATCTGCAGCTCCTGTTCAAATTAAACGTGTGTTTGATATCAAAGCTCAAAATCAATCAGTCAAGAGGGATGAAGAGAAAGTGGTGTCCATGTTCAGCTAGAGGCTGTGAATTCATGGTGGCTCTGGACAGATTTCCCCATCCCTCCCCACCTCCTTTCACCACCAGTTTCATACAGATTATGGCTCTCCATGGTGGAGCTTGGCAGAGTCACAAAAACCCTTCGTGCAGGAGGGGAAATAAAAACACTCCCGTATCAAGAACACACTTGTTTAAAAAAAGATACCCAGCTGCTGAAAGCACATACTTCATAAAGTTTACAAATCCATTCAACAAACTGGGGCTTTAATCTTTGTATATTTTGACAGAGCACAGTCTGGGAGCATTACACAAATGGGGAATTAATGCAGAGCTGAGCAGCTCTTGTCTGGGATGGAAGGATGTGGAATATGAGCTGGGCCATGCAAACTGTGCTTCTCCATGCTAAACAAAGTCCACCCTGGCAGGTGTAAACTGAGACTGCCCAACCATGAAAACACTGAAAAAACCACAGATGTGAAGTGAATTTCCCTGTTCTGCTGAAATGACCATCCTGGGCTCAAAAATGTTGGTGCTGAAGGGTCTGCAGCCCAAGGAAATGGACTGAATGCACTGACACAGCACTGCATGGCCACAAACATCACCTGCAAGGCAGAAATATTGCAAATATTTCCCAAATATTGCAAAAGCACAGCTGGCTGGGGTATGATGTGCCCCAAACCTGGCAAGAAGCAGAAATGGTCTCCAAAGAGTAAGGATTCAGCAGGGTTCAGGCTGGAGCTGTGGGACAGGCACAGCCCTCACCAGCAGAGCATTGCTGTGACTGAGAACATCCCTGTGCCTGCACAGCTGTGGGGCAAAGAGGAGGCACAGGAGGCATAAAATGAAGGTTTGGCTGTGGAAGTGAAGGCAGAGAAGCAGGAGAAGCTCATGGAGCCTTCTTGGTCAACACCTCCAAGAGCGAAGCTGGTGCAGAGTGAACAACAAAGAGTGAGGGCAAGGGGCCAGACAGGAATTAGCACCCACCTCTGGAAAATAAAGCTGGCACCACGAGCACAGCATGGTCTGCACTGCACTGCCCTTCATCTGAGGAGGAGAAGAACCCTGAGCTCCCAGGGAGATGGATCTCAACTCCTCCCCCAGGCCGGGGATGTTTTTCTGCCTGATTTGTAACGATGCAGAGACCCATGAGGGGAAGAATATCACACCCAGCCCTCAGCAAAGGGCACAGACAGACATGTTAACTCTGAGCATTAAATTCAGCCAGATTGACAACTTAATCTTTCTATCTTAGATGTCAAGAACTGGTATGGCAGAGACCCCAGGCAAGGACCACGGAGCACTGCCCTGACTGAGCCTTTGGGAGGAAGGTGGTGAAGTCAGCATCCTGTTCAGGAAAATCACTGACCAAGTGATCCTTAAAAGCCTGCAGGAGCATAAACCATGGTGAGAAAGCCTCACAAGCTGCTGGCTTTAGGCTTGGGCTGCTCACATGTTTCCTGCAAGTTTACAGCTCCTGAGCCAGTCTGTCGCAGACAACTTTTATAAAAAAATCCTTTCCTTAGGATTTTTCCTCCTGAGAAGCTGAGAGGCCTCAGGAGCAAAATGTAAACAATGGTTATCTGCTGCTGTGGGATGCAACAGGTGCATCTGGGATTGGTCTCGTGGTTGTTTCTAATTAATGGCCAATCACAGTCAGCTGGCTCGGACTCTGAGACAGAAGCTTTTGTTATCATTCCTTTCTATTCTTAGCCAGCCTTCTGATGAAAACCTTTTCTTCTTTTGGTATAGTTTTAATGTAATATATATATAATAAAATAATAAATCAGCCTTCTGAAACACGGAGTCAGATCCTCGTCTCTTCCCTCATCCAAGAACCCCTGTGAACACCATCACACCAGTCTGTCCTGTGTTTCTTTTCTACTGTGCAGCTGCTCTTGAGCAGGACAAGAAGCAGATTTCAACTGGAAAGCCACTGAAAATCAACCCCCAGGATGTTACTGGGAATGCTGGGAATAGAGGGTGAGGGAGGAACAGGACACAGACATGCAGGAGGCACAAATATTAAGTGCCAAGGGTATTTTGATGAGGTTGCATTATGTGATAAAGATGGATCAGGGTGCAAAAGGGTTGATTTCAGAAGAAGGGGAGCAGACAGATCTCCATATTCCTGGTGCTGGCTGGAAGAGGAAGGAAGGTCCAGATTGTGGTAAAGAGATTTCCTGCAGAGCCCTGAACACACCAAGTCCT